GAGAGAGAGCCGAGCGTCAGCTGCAATCATCTCTCGGAATCGATACTCGACCATAACCCAGGCAGCTCTGCTGCAACAGCTATATACGTACACACACGCGCGCGCGCACGCACATGAGGTTGGTTGGTGCAGCAGCGTCGCTTTGTCACGCGCCTGCATTTCTCCTTTTCTCTCTCTCTCTCTCTCTCTCTCTCTCTCGGCCGTTCACCGACTCATTGACAGAGATGCATTACAGGCGCTTAATCACGGACTCGTAGATTTACGATTAATATGAACTGACGGGCGCACACTAGGCCCGGTGCAGCGGTTGCTGCTGTACACCCTACTATATGTATAGGCGACTCGCGCTGCACATGCACCCACTGCACCGGGATACGAATGCGGAATGAGGACTCGATTTGCTCGTACACGCTTGTACGCACGCATGTATATACGTGGTACATGTGTGTATGTGCTGCGCGAGATCGCTGTATGTATGCACGAGGCCACCTGCCCTGTGCAATGAGTGTTCGTGCAATTAGCGCCGTGCCTTTACGTACACGGTGACCCTATTTTTTGTCTTCCTTCTTCTTCCACTCCTGCGCGAATGGAAAAAAAAATTAGCGGAAACAATTGAAACTATTCCTTTCAAATTGAAAGTTTTTTAGAAGTTGTTATGAGATTGTTACATTTTTGAGTATTCGCTCGCTATCGGCGTGTCTCTATTCGATCTGTGTTGCGTCTGCACGGTCAGAGTCTTGCAGACGCGTGAGTGGATTTTCGTGTCCGATCCAGGTCCACAAGAAAGTATTAACATAATAAAAATATTGATAACTTTTATTTAAACACAATATCGAAAAAACAAGTTTCCTTTTAGGATTGAGCAGGCCGTATACCGTCGATAAATATTGTTCATTCGTGTGCCACGGAATCGGACACGAAAACCCCCTCAGCGTCCAGACTAAGTTTGAGATCTATTCTGAAAATTTGAAAAAAGAACGCATTCCTCTGATCCAACAAAAGCAAAGGTCAACTCGGAGTTGTTTCGTGGGGAATCGAATTACGGAACTGAAAAAGTGGCTTTAGATACGAGTTTGGTGAAAGTAGCCTAATTTCTATGTCTCTGTAGCGTCGCTCTTTATCTCTTTGACTTTTACTTTCTCTTTTTTTCTCAGGCGTGGGCGTTACTGTATGCGAGAATCAATGTGTAGGAAAGTAGTGATGATTCAAAATCGTCGTTAGTCATTATACAGAGCTCGAGCCACTTTCATCTCTTAAATAGCTATCGCCACGTGTTCTTACTCTTTTTTATGTATCGTTATAGTGTGCAGTCATAGTCAGTATAGGTTACGACGCCACCGCGTGAACAGCAAAAAAACATCTGATCAACTGCAGCAAGTGATTAAAAGTGAAAAATTTATTTATTATAAGTGACTGTGTTAGTGTATAAAACGATGGCTTCGTCGGACGATAAATCCGCTGTAAATGACCATAGCGCAGGTAAAAGCCAGCGTTCTTTGGCTATCGCACGTTTCCTTTACGAACACACAACAAGCTTGGGAAAATTAACGAGACTACGACGAGAGGTTAATTTGGAGATCGAGGCTGAGCGAGTAACATTTTATGATAAATTGTATTACATAGTCTTTAATTGGGACGGTCAACTTCCAAATCTTCGAGATATCTTTAAACCCGAAGAAATTGATTGTATTGTCTCTGACTTTGCTTTGAACAGAATGGTAAACCTGGGAGGTGGAGATAAAAAACGATTAATTCAGTTCATGGCTCGCTGCGACTGCGAATACGAGCCCAAAGTTGATGAAGACGGCAAGCCATCGTCGCGTCGCACTACACTACTGCATCTTGCTTTTAGATACAATTTCCATGGCTTCGTGCTTAATCTATTTAAAAAATACAATAGGTTCGATGTGAACTACACCGATGAGTCTGGGCTTTCGCATTTTCACATAGCCTGCGCATTGGGATGCAAAAAAATCGTCGAGAAATTTCTCGAGCTCGGTCAGAATCCCAATCTCGTCGCGCGAGATGAATCGATCGATCCGCCGCTGCACTTAGCTCTAAATCGTGAAAATGCAGAGACGTTTAAGTTGCTGCTCAAACATAAAGCCAATCCAAACTTAAGCGACGTCGAGGGCTCGACTCCTTTGCACCTTATTTTTAAAAAACGCAAATATGCTGACTTAGTAAAGATTTTATTTGAGATCAGCGACGACATCGAACAGACGGTGGATATAGATGCCCAGGACAAGTTGGGTAACACACCATTGCACGTGGCTCTGACCGAGAACTACTGGGAGTCGGCCGAACTTTTGTTGAAAAAAGGTGCAAACCTGAATTTGTTTAACGAGATGGGATTGACTCCTTTGCATATTATTTGCAATAATGATAATGACTACTCGGAGGTATTTTTCGTCAAGATCAACGACGAATTAAATCAATCGGTGCAGGTGAATGCCCAGGACAAGTTAGGCAACACACCATTGCACTTGGCTCTGTTCCATCCACGCAAAAAGATGGTCGAAGTTTTGCTGAAAAGAGGTGCAAATTCTAATTTAGCCAATGAGGACGGATCGACTCCTCTGCATATCATTTGCAAAAGTAAATTCGGTGATGATGTTGTGAAGATGTTCTTCAAGATCAACAAAAAACAGCATCAAACAGTGCAAGTTGATGCCAAAGATAAGGAGGGTCGTACACCGCTCCAATGGGCCGTAGCGAATCTTTTGCCGAAAACTACCAAATTTCTGTTAAAAAATGGTGCGGATCTGTCGAGCTTCGTTTTTCCCACTGAGAGTCACTTCGAAGAGTTTTACAGATCCACAGATACCCATATGTGGCATTTTAAATTGAGAACAGCGTCTAGCACTTTGATGATTATAGAACATCTTGAGAAAAGTGGATACGAACTGGAGCAAAGCAACGCCTTGACCATCATGAAATTGTTTGCCAAATACGGATTGTTCGAAAAATCGGCAGATCTTGAAAAAAGTTTATCAGATGACGAGGCAACTGCGATACAATTAGCAAAGAAGATAATGGTGAAACCGAACCTGTCGCTTCACGATGTGGTTCTGTTACAACCCAAACAGGCAGCAAAATTACTCACGTATCAGGACTACTTGAAGTTAGCTCGCCTGGACGAATCGTGTGGTTTATTCAGTGTATATTGTAAGGTCTACGCTGTGCGTTTGTGCGAGATAATGTTGAGAGGATTTTTTTGGGTTTGGACACTGGATCCTTTCATACAGTTGATACACTATCGGCTGCCAATTGAGATCTGTGAAATGATCATGGACCTGTTCACTAACCAAGACTTATGTAATATTTGCTTGGCAGTTACCAACAAAAATGAAGAGGACAAAGAAAAACCGAAAGAACAAAATTGAGTACAAAAAACAGCAAAGAAAAAACATGATAACAATATAGATTTCGAGATTATGCATGGCTGATATGAAGATTTAAGTGATATTTACTTAGCGGCAACAGGCCCAATTCACTGTTATTTATAACTTGTTTATAAATGTTATAGATTTTTCGTGCCATTAAAATAAATTAGTTTAAAAAATATTTAAATTATAAATTTGTTTACGTTTTAATTTATTGTATTTTAATTTTATTTCAATTTTATATTCGAAAAAAATGATTAAGAAGTTTAAAATATTGCAGCCGTTTGTAAAGTTGAAATTTTTATTTTTGACAAATAAAATTGATAAAACGAAGTGTGTGATGATTATCCTTTTTTCAACCTGAATGAAAACTCACAGTCAACAAATGAAATTGTATAAGTCCAAATTATTACTATTATACATCGTCACGATATAATTCCATCAGTCCTTTCATTAGTTTACAATTCATTATTAACTATTTGATGATAAATTAAAATTTTTAAAACCTTCCGAGTCTCTTTCGCACATTTACCAATTGAACTATATCAAACATTCTCTTTATACAGCTATAATATATCATTTAGTTATATGTAAAACGCAGTTCACAGAAAATGATCAGAAAAAAATTTTTTCATGAAATTTTATGCAAGCAAGACGATGAGCTCTCCCATGGTTTCATATTTTTTTAATTTAGCAACTGAGCGATTGGTTGCAAGTGAATATCGAAAGATATTCAATTTTTTAATTTCGATCATTTTTGACGAGCAAATATTTGACATCGATTGAATTATTTTAATTAAGCAACATTTACTTTATCACGCGCGAATATAAACAATGTACGCATGAAAAAAATTGATCGTTCGTTGCTTTTCAGGTCGAACTATCGAATCTCTTTCAAAACTTTCTCGAGTTATCGCGTCAATATTTCTATAATCCAGCTTCGAATTTCATCGATTATATTGAAGAGGAAAAAACTTTTGATACAGTTTCCTTTTGATCTTATGGTATAGTCATATGAATGGTATCATCCAGTCCGCCGAGCTCGACTTCAACGGACGAGGCATATGGACGGGGAGAGCTTCGATCGTCAAATTATCGAGGCCGTGCCTCGCACTTTGAAGCCGACCGCTAAATTTAATTTATGAACGTTTGTGCGTGTGCATAAGCGCGCTCACGTGTGCTCATCGCAGCGCCGAAAGTTAAGTGCGAACACATAATTTCATCGACGTGGAAAAGTGTTATAGCTCTAGGCCGGGAAGGGGGGGCGAATTAATATCGCCCATATGCCTCTTCCGTGTGTGCAAAAAAAAGTCCGAGTCGTTCGTTTTGATAGAATATAATGGACATTACGAGCGGATTATCAATGCTGATGAGATATGCTGATTAGGCCACGTCACACGCAGTAATTGAGCGCGCGTTAGTTCAAGCTTCGATTCGTATTCGTAATCGATATCGGCCGCACTCGACACAATACGTACGCGCGAGTATACCTAATTCACCAATCGACATGCTAATGGTACATCTAATTATTTAACGTTATACTTGTGGGCAATCGTAGTAATTTTACGTAAAATCAACTGTTATTATACATAATAAAATATTTAAAGTACTCACGTCGACGCCGAGGCGATTCTTCCAACGTCGCCACTCGTCGAAGCCCTGGCGCCAGTACTCGATGAAGTACTCCTCGGTGTACTCAACCCCGTGGCCGCCGCCGTAGCGGCCCTGCGTGCGGGTCGCCGTCAGCGCTCGCGGCTCGCGCAGATTCACCTCGAGATACTCCTTGGGCTCGTTGGTGATCATGTTCTTGGGACACCAGGCGCCGCCGCCTTTCTCCTTTCGTAATCTGTGGCGAACGAGAACCCCCCCCCAAAAAAAAAGTCAATTAATTTTTTGCGTACGAATATACGATAGAGATAACTTTTGCATCCACCTCTCGTATATATATATATATAGGCAACGGTAAACTCGAGATGAGGAGTCATCGTCCCATGATCGCGTCTGCGAGCCGAGGACGTCGAGTACAACAGCTGCACTTGTAGTCTTGGCTTGCCCGCACACACGGACACACACTCAGACACGGCACCGAGAGCTGCTATTGCTATTCGGCCAGTCGTGGTCGTGCATACACGTACGTACATACGTATAGAGATATATATTCGCAATGGTAAGCACACGTGGCGATAACGATCGGAGCCATTAGTAATGCTAATGCGCCTTTCGACTGATGAGGCGCTGATAGCACCGCATCGGTCCGTACGTACATACGACGTATATATAACGTACGACCAACCTGTGTGTGTGTGTGTGTGTATAACGACTATAGGCAAGGATTTATACAAGTTTATACGCTATATATCTACGCGATGCCTATCTATCTTGGGAAAATCAGCAAGGTGTATATGTACTATATGTACTATATACACGTAAGCTCCAATAAGATTGCGTTAAACCAGAGACTCTCTCTCTCTCTCTCTCTCGGCTGCACACCGCAGCAAATCGTAAATTTTGGGACTGCAGCAGCGGCAGAAGCTCCGGTCTCGCTTTCCTCCCCCCCTTCCCTCCCCACGTTCGACCGTAATTAGCCTCGACCGCGCAAGCCGCGAATTCGTTTAGTTCCGTGTCCCGGTATCCCGCGCCGCGTAGGTATACTGCTTGCGAACGGCCGTCGTCTCTCTCTCTCTCGGCATCCCGACGCGCGCCATTACGTTGGGCTATAGTGCCGCAGCTACGCAGCAGCTAGCTCGAGCTTTTCGTTTAATTATTTCACCGGCTTAATTAGATTTCTTCCTTATATTTTCTTTTTTTTTTCTTTTTTCCTTTTGCTGGTGTGGTTTCCCGGGTTACATATATACATCTCTCTCTCTTTCTCTCTCTCTCTTTAACTCTCTGTGCTGAATAAATTGACTTTGAGAATTAAACGTGCGTCGCTCTTACCTAAGGAAGCTCGGCGAGCAATGCCATATAGAGAGCTGCTGCTACACACAGCCGGTTGCCAGCTAGCTACTACTGCTGCTACATGCGTTAGCTTGGGTTAGAAACGCTTTATTACTTTTGCGGCGCGGCCAAAGCTCGCATATATGGGAAAATTTCTCTCGGCGACGACGACCGGCCGCGTTGCTCGGCTCTCGATCTTTCTCGGAATGGCGATGATTTTTCACGAAATTATTTCGTCTCTCTCGCGTGTCTCGGGCATTGAAAAATTTCTCTATCTCGGCCGTAGGAGGATAAAATTCAAACCCTCTGCAAGCTCTCTCTCTCTCTCTCTCTCTCTATGTCTCTTCGAGTTCGATCGCCAAGTACTTTTGCCGCATACATCATCGCTGCATACATATTCGTCGCATTCCGGTATATGTACTACCACTCGGGTATATACGCACACACACGTACACGTACTTTGTGGGGGGCGGACGCGGCGCACCGGGGGAAGCACACACAATTGCAAAACGAGTTCAGCGGTGCGAGCGTATGCTTCGCATGCAGATTGCGATCGTGCGCTCGTAGTAGTTCGCTTCGTTCGCGCGCGCGCGAACACACACACACATAGCAGTGGATGACGGCAAATCCAGTCGGATTATTCGCGATGTGTGTTTCATCAACCCGGGGAGAGGAGGGAGAGGGTGACAGTGGGGTAAAAGGGGGGGGGGGGCGGAGGGCGTATAACGATTCCAACGATCTAACCCAGGAATGTCTGGGACACAATGTTAACGGGGCAATGTATAGGAGAGAGCTATATACCTAATTAACCGTGAATGTGCCATTACTCTGACAGCGAGCTGCTGCTGCCGCTACCGCTACTATGTATTTATTGTATAACTCGTTGACCGAGAGAATGATATTCATCTGCTCGCTGCCTCGTGTGCGTCGAGTGGCCTAATAGTAGCGGACGAGTTTGCGAATTAAAAATGAAGCAGCGAAGCAGTGTCGAGATTATATTATAATATAGTCGAGCGAATTTTTTGGGACAAGGGATCGGGTTATAAAAATATGATTTAGTCGAGTGATAAGCAAAATTATCATGCCGCTAAAATTAACAGAAACATATTAACGAGTGCAGTAATCGCGAGATCTTTCTCTTCTTACGCTGCAAATGTGTCTTGGGCCCGGGGTTTGAAATTTTCCCAAAATGAAACCAATTACGTACGTCAGCCCATATCACGAAACTAAAGCTTTCCACTTTAGCTCGGCAGGATTCAGCTGTAAACTTAGTTTGAATTCTCTTTCTCTCTCTCTCTGCCTAGCATCTCCTTCCTTTAAGTCTCTAACATTGAAAAGCGCTCTCTCACTCTCTTTCTCTTCTCCTCCTCCTCCTCCTCCTCATCCTCCTCTCTTGACTCTTACTCCTTTCGAGTCTAAGACTCTTGTTTGGCATTGCGAGCAATTATTCTTTATTGAATTTCTTCATTGAAATCGAAAGCTTAGGTCAAGATCTCCGATACATAAAAGTGCCTTTTCAAGAAAAAATAAATTGATTGGATTACGGCCCTGTGTATATAGGATGCTCCTCGGGGGGCGACTGGCGCTTCAATTTCTGTATGCAAATAAGAGTTTCTGAGAATTAAGTAGGATCAAAGAACGATACTGTTATATATTTTTTGCCAACTGTGAATCGACGATATTCTCGGCTTTCTATGGCGACGTTACTTTCGTTCGCTATTGTTGCCTTGGAAATGAAAAACTTTTCTACAGAATTTCTCTTTAATTTTTAGCACTCAACAATTCGATCTACCAAAAAATATATCAAAAAAATTAAATTTACCAAGCATACCAAAAAATTACCATTTTAAATTTTTTAAAACATACGAAATTAATTGGCTTGTTTTTAGCGAGTTTTCTGTTAAAATTGCTTTACAAATTTTTAGTGCATTGAACATTATCTGAAAAGGCCAATTTGACAGTATTAATAAAAAATTAGACTAGTTTTCAACCACTTTAGGCCTCCGCCACTAGATGGTGAATACCACTATTTGTAAATCTGCAAGTGGAGAAGTAAAAATAATGATATAAGTCAAACACGGTTGGTTTATCGAGAGTTTGTAGTTGCGGATTCGTTTTCAACTACTTTGGGCCTCCGCCACAAGATGGCGAATACCACTATTTGTAAATCTGCAAGTGGAAAAGTAAAAATAATGATATAAGTCGAATACGGTTGGTTGATCGAGAACACTGGTCTGATTCTCAATATACCCAAAGTAATGTATAGTGAGAAAAACCCTATTGGTCTAAAAAAAACTCACTCCTTTATTTCAACACAAATGTGCAATTCAGACAAGAATTGTCCGAGGCCTCGCGACTGAAGACTATAACAGTCGAATTATATCTTGCAATTGAAATTCGTATTTTATAGCGAAATAATATTAAGAGCTGTCGACGTTTTCTCTCGTGAGGCTAGCTCGACAATGACGAATCTCGTCTATTTTATAAACAATTATTGTCTGCCCCGTGGCCATGGTTACGCATCGAACAACGGTTTATCATCAAATCACGAGCCGTTCACCATAAGTCACCACAAGAATTAATGACACAACTGATTACGACACTCTCCGCGACTTCATCGAGCAAAATTTCGGCACCAAAAAATTATTCTACGAACAAAGAAGGCGTGTGAAATTCTGAAATAAATGTCGCACTTCTGGTTAATATCCATTCATTTCTATAAAGGCCCGAACTAGCCATGAAATATTCAGCATTTTCATCAGGGTTATTGAAAATATAAAAAAACAATTTTTAAAATTTTCAAGCGAAACTCGGTATTATCACATGCTATTGTTTACTGTGTGTAGCCCTCTCCCGCACACAGTTGCATACGCGAGCGTTCGAGCCTCTCTCGGGAGGGAAAAAAACTACGTACGAAGACACGAAGAGTATATATGGGGGGTCGGAGAGCTGCGGAGATGTAGGCTAACGGGAGGGTACTTCTAAGCGGAAAAGGCCGTTAAAAAAGAGTAGCCATATACGAACGCGCAGAGAGAAAGAGAGAAGAGAAGAGAAGAGAAGAGAAGAGAGAGAGAGAAATTCATAGGGGAAGAAAATCGAGCAACACGCAACTCCGGCAGCGTAATGCAGCGCGCGGGGGTGCGTACACATATATGTAGCGAGCTTATATAGTACGAAGGCGCATAGCAGCGTGACGGGCACTGAAGAGAGAGAGAAAAAAGGGCTATTTAGAGAGCGCACAAGAGAGATATAGGGTTCATTGTGTACGGGATACGCACGCGCCCATGCAGTTCATTCGGTAGAAAAGATTTTAAAGACTTGCTGCTTCTGCTGCTGCGGCACAAAGAGAATTGCGTAGGTGGGTGGGCAGTCGCATACACGCACATATAGAGCCCCTCCGTGCTAGTACTATATAATATACCATGTTCTTCTGCCAGACTATATGTATTTCAAAGCGGTTAAAATTGAGCCTCACTCCCCCGCTGAAGTGAACATCGGCGTGCTCGCGCACGCCCGAGATTTTGAATCGAGCCTCTGCTGCTGCTGCATGATGCACGCGTCGACTCTTTTGTTCTCCGCCCGAATCGTTAATGAGCGCAAACAACGTCTCGCTCTCGTTTGACTCGACGTTTCTCTCTCTCCCCCCAATTCATTGTTTTCCCAGCGCGATTTTTCTCTTTACTTTTACTTTACCTGACGCGGAATTGAATTTTCTTAGAAATTTCATTGTGCGCGCGCGCATTCTCTCGACTCGCGTGTATACATCGACGCATCGCTGCTGCTTTTTGTGTGGCTTAACCGCGACGACTCGCTGCGAAACGTGGATACTTTTTGTACACCTGCCGTGCATTTTCGTGTGTGTGTGTGGCACAAATGCTGGAGATGACAAAGAAAAACACCGGGCAAAAT